TTTATTTATTTATTTATTTTAATTCATCTGACATACTAAACCAAGGTTGTGTGTGTCCAGCCACTGACAAACTGGTGGTGGTGGCTCGTGTTTACAGGGAATGATTAGAGTTGAAGATGATGAAGTCCCTTTGGGATCAAATGTTGATAATAAATAAATGTTGTCGTGCTTGTTTCTCTTCAGGGCCATCACTTGGTGATACAGATACAACCTATCTTAATCCTTTTTCATCCAGAGTTTGGCCAATGTACAGTTGAGCCCACGGGCAGATAAAAACATCCAATCTTTATTTACTTTTTTTTTATGCCTGGAAATTAGTTTTCTGACATCTACAACTGCCTTCCTGGTGGTCCTCAAAGGGCGAGGTTGCTTTGGTCCCGGTTGGCTAATGCTTTGAACGTGACTGCCAACACACTCGCAGTGTCACAGGTTTCAGTCAATTAAGTTCAGTTAGGGAACTTGAACCAGGGAAAAAGAGGAAAAACTTTAGAAATCTTTTACCAGTATGATGTCCCACAGCCTCACATGAGTTCTTAGCAGGCAGTGTGTAGAGAGCAACTAACAGAGGTGATATCGAAGAAGCAGCAGAATAATTGCTGTCCCGCGAAAAGTAAGATAATGTATGATATAGTTTCACATCCTCTCTGTCGGTGATGGTCTCTGTCAGTTTTCTGTGTGCTAATCCTAAAAAAAAGGGAAATTACATTAGTTTTACATTCAGGGTAAGAGTTTTTCCATACTGATTTAACTGATTGTTTAGAATCACCCCAGAAAATTATAATAAAATTTAGCCAGTAATGCCAAATGTGTTAATGCTATAAGACAGTTTATTATCAATCAAATGAAAATTAAGTATATTTCACTGTCTTGCCATTATCTCTATTATGATGTAAATATGAGGCTTAATAATGTGCAGCTTGTCAAGAGCTTTTTATGTGATAACTATTTATTTTTACATTTCTTTAAGCTTCATTTTAAATTTACTGAAAAATATTCACCTCTTTGCTACTTGTTGAGATGGGAGCTGATCTTTTCTTTTCTGATGATGTTTGCGTAGGGAATCTGAAAGGCAAAAACGCGACATAAAACGTTACATTCTTCCTAAAGAAATACCTTTAACACTGAAAAAGGTTCTCTAAAGTAAACTTTACTATTATGATTTTATCATTGGTGGAAATATGAAAATCCAAAACTCTAGCCAAGCTGGTGAAAGTAAAAGTCTGTCAACACAAATTAAACATTTTTTGGAGTTCATTTGCATGTCTGTGTGAAATTAATGTGTCATTACTCTCAGACAGATCCATCTGCTGGTTCTAGACACATTTGTCAATTGTTTACGTGAGTATGTGCATTTGGTGTGCACATACAGGCTTATAAATTAGCTTGAACCCACATTCATAATCGCCTGCCTTTGTGATTACATGAATACATGTTCTTGTGTGCGTTTTGGTGCACGCCTTGCCACTGTGTGCACACAAGCGTGTACAGTGGTGGCATGTGTCAGAAAACAAAGACAAACAGCATCTGTCAGCCTGTCTGCCAGCTGCTCCAGTGATTGATGTCGACGGAAACACTCAGATGGCTGCAAAGGAACTTCTCACCCGTGAAAGACAAACTAGATGATTGGCTCTGTCATTTGATGGACAAATAAGCAAACGCATGTGTCCGGTCAAGTCCTAGTGATGGCTTCATTTATTCAGCCTTTAATTTTTGTTTTTGTTTTAACCCATGGCAAGGATTTCCCAAGTATGCATACAATCTCTAGCAGTAGTCAGAGAATTGACTGGCACATTTCCTCATCGGTTTTTGATTTTTTTTTTGTTTCGGTTGATGTGATGTCACTGTATTTTAGTAAGTACTGCATAATTAGTCTTAATTATATTTTTTCTCAAAATCCTTGCAGACAATTTTTAAGGCAATCATGAAGATTTTCTTTTAATTTGTGTATCTAAAAAAGGGTGTTTAATTTGTCATTTAAAAGCACATTTCCATCAGTGTTAAGCACTAACATTAGTAGTCTTACCATCTGTAACTGTTGGACCATCTCCTCTCTGTAGGCGAGCTCTCGTTTCATCTGATCTTGAAAATTGTCTGAAATTAGCGTACAATAAAAACAAACCTTGATTAGGTGGCACGTGTATTGTCATTTTGGAAAATTGGAGTGATAAAGACAGCCGATGACAGAAAAGGGTTGAGCAAAAAAAATCGGGGAAAATAAAAAACTGAAAGGTAAAAATGGGGATAAAGGTAAAGGTGTAAGAGACTGTAAGAAAGACAGAAAAGGAGAAGTTGCCCTTCAGAGTATGGAAACTAAAAGGAAATCAGGGTAAGGGGGAAAAAAACTGACTTACGGAAGACAGGAAATGGTGAGGTGCCCTTCAAAGCGTGAAACTCTTGCTCCAGTCTCCTCCTGAAGTCGATCTGTTCCAGCAGAACCTTCTGGAGCTCTTCTACAGAAGGACAGAAGAAAGCAGAAGGAAAATATGAGAGTGGTTGCATTAAAATATTCTCTCACAATCTCACAAATGTCCATCTAGTATAGATTACTAATTTTCTATGGTCAGTGCAGCTGAGACGTGCTCAAACAGCCCTTACCTTTCTCCATGCTCTCAACATCCTTTTTCAGCTGCACAGGAGAAGCAGCACCCTGGCTTTGATCGCCTGAAAACATGAAGAGACTTAATTTCAAACTTTGAAATTAATTGTTAACTAAACTGGGATTTGATCCACGAACAGGAAATGAGTACAAAACAAACAAATAAAAATAATGAATTTAAGGCCATGCTCATAAACTATAAATGATCTTGAAATCAGTTATTCAAAAGCAACCGGAAAAGCTACAAATGTAAGTGAAGTTAAGTGAAAGCATCAGGCATCATTTGATCGCCTAAAGGAGGTTATGTCTGTTTGTTAGATCAGGATAAGGATGAGAACAGAATGTGCACGGTGAGACTCAACAAGAAAAACAACAGACTGGATGGCAAAAGTGTGAGGAAAAATTAGGAGAAACAATGTCCATAAACATTTAATAAATTAGTATGAATAACAAAGAAAAAATAGAAAAATACAATAAAATTTGCTGATCAAAAGACTGATCAAAAAGAGAGTGATAACCCTTCAGAAACTAAAAGAAGTCAGCTGACTTTGTGTGCAGAAAGCCAAAGTTAAGTGTAAGTGTAAAGTGAAGTATTGCAAAAACAACTTAACTGCAGTCTCCATTATTTGGACAGAACTACTTGGTTTTTATTTTGTCATGGACTAATTTAGTTTCCTCCTCTCTTCAGCTGTAAGTGAAGCATTGCAATTCATGTTCTGGCCTCTAGGTGTCAGTACAAGTTCATGGAAACTACTTATGATGACCGGAGACTATGACGAGCTTTACTGTTCTCGCCTCTTATTGTAATATCATGCTTCGTCCAATCTAGTCAGAGAGATTTGAGTCAATCATCTGGTGGCTGTTAAAGCTGAAGAAGGGCGGAGATGTGGAAAGTTTTGATTTTACTACAAAAGTTAAGATTTTTTGACCAATACAAGTAGTTCCTGCAAACTAAAGCAGGATTTAAAAGCCATAAATATGGTTAAAAAAAAACATCCTCACAGTTAATAGTGCGAATGTTTTATAAAATATATGTTCTGTCTGTTTTGTCTTTTTTTAAACTTCTGGAGGATAAATCTACTTGTTGCTTTAAAAGTCTGCCATCCTCAGAACAAATATCTCCATTACATGCTGTGTTTTTCCTTCAGATTTCCAGTGTCTGCCATGGTAAGCATGCATGTGTGTGTTTGAGCTAATGTCTGAATTGTGACAATGAGGCATTGAACGCCTTAATGAAGCAAGTGAGCACCCTCGATATGTGTATCCTCCTCCAGTCATTTCATGTCCTGGCTCCTTAAGCCTCCCTATGCTTCTCTCTCTCTCATTTAGAACAGAGAGAGCTCTCCTCTCTCCTCCTCTCCTCTCTCCTTTCCTCTCCTCTCTCTGTCTCATTTGACAAGCAAATTTGCAGACAGTGCCCGAGGATAACAACCTCGTTTGACAGTCAATTAACCGTGAATAGTCAAAGCCAAGGCGGTTTGCATTACATAAATGGAAAATTAGATTATTTTTTCTCCCTAGAAACAGAGGGAGAGTTTAAAGACAGTGGAGGGGGGTGGAGGGACTCGGAGGAATCAGGCCTTCTAATCACGTAGAGCTTCCCACCGCCCAGGGAGACGTTTGGCAATCAGGGGAAAGGTGGTCTCATTTAATTTGTTTCGTGTAATTTTTCGAAATACATTATACATTATGCACAGGGATCATTACGATGTGTGTGCGTGTAGGGGTTGAGGGAATGGGGGGTAGATATAAATGTTGGCACAGATGTCATAAAGCACTTTTAATGTCTTCCTGACAGATATAAAAAGGTAATAAGCTGTGATCTTTTTCAAACGGGAAAGGTTTTTTTGCGCTGAGAAAGGGGAAAAAAGGCAATTATGTCGGGGGCGATATGGGTCTGGGATGGAGATTGCCAGCGCGGCTGCTTATCTCTGAGCTGATGTTTTCTTGTTGAACTATAACGGCCCCCCTAAGAGTAACAGCCCTAGCGACAACGCCACTAAAGAGAGGAGCCGTGGCAGAGCGGCGAAAGAGGCAGCTTTGCACTGCTGTTTCATCTCTGTGTGTATTTATATGAATCCCTTAACTTGCCATCTGAGAGGACATGGAGATGGAGATGGATAAAGCTTAAGAGTCAAAGGCTTTCCCTCACTGACTGAACTGTTCTGAATGTCATTTGTGTAAGAAATCAGTGTCGTTTTGCAAATAAAGTCATAAAGTGTCAGTTTTTAATCAGCATTTTAATCACAAGTAGGTTTACTTTCTAATATAAATAATAATCAGTGTCATCAAACACCAAATATAAGCAGACGGTACCCATTCCATCCCAATAATTATACTTTCAGTGCCTGATTTGCCAGTTTCAACTTTTGCCTTTAGTTTATTTTCTGTGTTCTGTCTGAATGTAGCTGTTTTGCAACCACTTATAAAAAAAGAATAAATACAAAAACGTGAGTTTTTATACCTGAGTTCTCCCTCCAGTAGTCCGAGGCCGACGTCTCAGTCTCTGGTACAAAGAAACTATTCTGTTCTTTTGTTTCATCTGAGAAAAGATGAGAGCGAAAGACAGGAAGACAGACAGGAAGAGAGATTCAGTAAGGGCCATTGGCTGAGCTGGTTATCCGGACACATGGAGATAACTAAGTGTACGCATGATGTGTGCGTCTCCTTTGTGTGTATGCATTTGGGAGCTATGGTCGAGCGTACGCATGTGTGTTTGTCAACGCACTGCGAGAAAACACGGGGAAGACATTTTCTCCGGGAAAAGGGTCAGAGTGGGAGATGAGAGGAGCAAATGAAACGTCACAGGAATATGAGCCTCACAGGAACACAGGGACACTATAAAACCACTCACTCAGACAATAAATGAAACAAAGATGCTATAATACAACAGACTCGGACATCTGATGAAGCAAATAGTAACAGTTTGCTGAAATAGATTGTGTAATGCTATTTGATGAAACAGTGTAAAAAACATTTGATGAAACTGAGACATCGTAAAACAACTGCAGGGTGGAAGATGTAGCGTCCAACAAACCATGCAACCAATATAGTGATTTCTGGAGATTATATATGAAAGATTATTTGCTGTTGCAAATTTGATGGAGAAAAAAAAGGATGATGCTTAATGTGCTTTTTAACTTTTGTGTCAACAACTATTTTTCAGTTTCAAAACGAATGCATTTAATTAGATTTCTGCAATGCCGCGTTCTGTGTTGTGGAGACTTTAAAATGAAAAACTGTTCCAAAAGATTAAAACGTTTGCGCTTACCGGAAATGCTGGAATTGTCTTTGGTTGCATATGCAGGAAGTCCTTCGTCTCTGTTTTTGTGAACCTGGAAATCAAATATAGTTGATAAATATTTAATTTAAGACAATAAATTTAAAAAACTGGAACATGCACTGAGGCAGGGCAGTCTGATTCTGATAATACTATTACTACTAATAATTTAATCTGCAATATACTGGAGACTATGCTTTTATTCCTCAAAATGAATACTGAGATAAATCTGCAGTGTGTTGCTAGATGATAGTTTAACCCCCCCAAAGAAAACCATCGTCAAAATTGAACCTCTACTTCCTCCTCCTCTTGGAGGTCTGTTTAACATGGGAGTCGACAGGTTAAAGATTAGAGTTGCCCTAACAAGCTGGGGTGACAGAGGGAGAACGAACACAACGTGGCCATTAAACAAGCCACACCTGGGCCTATTAGCTAGTATCAGAGTGAGGTGACTGTTTTCATGTCTACGGGGAGAAACCAGCCTATCAATCTGCTTATGCAGATCACACCACTGCCTGACTGCGGCACCATTTAAATAATAATTAGCTAAAGTGGCCTGTGGGGATATTTACGTTTTTGTAAGCTGTGTCCTCCCGGTGAGGTGGGGTGGAGCTTGAGAGAGGTAAGCTGGCAGGAGGGGAGGTGGGCAGGCTGGGAGACTCCTGCTGGATCGGATCTGAGGAGGATCGAGGGGACGTACCGGGATACATTGCGCCACTCCCTCTGTCTTTCCCCCTATCCTCTCCAGCATTGTCACTCAGCGCAGAGAGGTACAGGTTGGTTTGAGTCTGTGGTGGTCTGTTTGTAAAGCTTCCCTCCTCTTCATCATCTTGCTTTGATGACTCCACATCCACTTCCCCCTCCTCCTCGCTTTCTGCTCCCTCCGGTTCCCCATCACCTCCACTTTCACTTCCATAGCTGCAACTGCTAGTTGGTGATAGCCGCGGGTGTTGGTCTGATCTGGTGACTACAAAGTCTTCATCCGTTGCTCCAGTGACCCCTCCGCCATTGCTGTGGAGCTTGGCAATGCTTTCTGCATCTTTGATGACAGGTCGGAACGCAGAGCCATAGCTTGACTTCCTTGACTGGAGAGTTGGGTTCTCCAGTAGTTTGAGCCAGCCCTCTGAGGTGACAGGGCGAGGGTCGGTGGTAACTGTTGTACACTCTGTGTCAAACAGCCCAGATTTGGGTGTGGTGGACCCGCCACTGGGAGTCATAGTTGCATTGATCCCACTTCCATTTCCACTCACAGCTCCAGATTCACTGGGGTCTGAGAGATCCAGGAAGGCCTGCCTCAGTGAGGGGTTGTCTGTCAGGGAGGAGAGGGTGCTGGGCTGAGGATGGATGTAAGTGGGGACAGGGATTCCTCCTGCTGCTCTTGGTGGCCAAAACATGCAGAAAGGAGGATAAAAAGAGTCTTTTCGACCGGGCCATAAAAGACCAGACAACCCTGCCCCTTTCTGTCCAGCTGGCACATCACTGTCCTCTTTTTTCTGCTGGCAGAGGCCAAATGCTGGAAAGGGATAAGGGGAGGGGAAGAGTGATGTAGGAGGGAACTTCTGCAGCATGCCGAAACCTTTGCTTGGGACAGGAATGACAGGGTAACTACGTGGTGTCTTACGAGGAGAAAGACTCCCTCCATCCAGATCATCCTCATCTTCAAAGCGGGTTCTTTTCTGAGCACCCAGCTCAGGTCCCATTACGTGAGGCACCACTGAACCTGACAGACTCTTCATGGGACCCATAGCAGAACAATGGGAAGACGAGGGCAAGGCTCTCTTTCGGCTGCCTCCATTGAACATAGCTTTGACATCTTCCCACGCATAAATTAACTCCTCTGGTGGATGTTTGTCGGTTAGTTTGAGGTGTCGTCGCCAGGAATTAAAGTTGGCAGCATCAGGCTGGGTATATTTGGTTTCTGGTGTTGAGCGGTGGGAATGGAAAATAAACTTATTTGGGGAGAAGTACATGTTGCAGAAGGAACACTTGATGCATTTGGCCCTTGAACTATTGTAGCGTGCAGGAATGAAGTTACCACGGCAACCCCAGGCGCACTCATGCGTTACATCGAAAGCAAAGTTGTCGGGGAGTTTCGGTGGCGAGTTCTCTCCGAGAAAGGACTTGCACAGACGCTCAGCTTCACGCTTGGTGATCATGCCACAGCGTCGTGACGAGATGGGCATGGCGCCGGCCCTTCGGAGTATCTCCAGCTGAACCGGCGTGCACTGAACACAGGTGATGCCCAGTGCCACCCGACGATTGTGAATCTCATTATAACTGTAATTCTTGAGGAGTGTGTTGGAAATCTGCGCCAAGCAAAGTCTCTCTGTATTATCTATGACCAGTGATACAATGGGAACGCCATAAAGGAAGACCTGGCCAACCTGGTTGGGTTTGAGTGGTGAGGAGGAAGAAGAAGGAGAGGGTGACGATAAGGAAGAGGATGAAGAGTGGTGATGGGTGGGCCTGGGTGGAGTCAGGGGTTCCTGTTGGTAGGGGCCTGTTGAGCTTGTCATTATGATATCAGTAGGGCTTGAAAGATGAGTCTTGTCCATGCTCGGATAAAAAGTAAAAAAAAAACCTGGAAAGAAAGAAAGAAAGAAAGAAAGAAAGAAAGAAAGAAAGAAAGAAAGAAAGAAAGAAAGAAAGAAAGAAAGAAAGTTCAACATTTATTAATTCATAAATAACCTTTTAAAACAGTTTACGAGCGCTTCTCTACCTGTATTATCAGCAATATGAAATGAGTTTCTTATTACCTAATATACACTTCGACCAAATAAATATTCCTCAAAATAATAAATAACAGAGAAGTGGATAAGGGAGAGCAAAGAGAATAAATAAAAAAATCCAGTGAAATGTAACATTTTAATTAAATGTATCTGATTACCCTTTCAAAATCTGTTTTTTAAGAAAGTTAACAATTAATTTAGAAATATTTTGACATCACAGCTAAATGCTTATTTTAATATTTTTAATGTATTTTAATTTCTGACTATTCTTGCAATTTCATAAGGGGCACAGAAATCGAAGCTGAATTGTGCAGATGGAATATTATTGCTGTTACTTGTTTTGATGACAGCAAATATATTTTTTTAATGCTCAGGAGGTATATCTTGATGTGGCTCCTGCGAATTTTTGAATTATCAAATGGGAAAAATGATTCAGGAGGATGAGGAAACACTCTTTCATAAGCACTGCTGTGAAGTGTACTTTAAAAAAAAGAATCATTTAAAAATAATTTAAAATAAAATAATGCAAAAACCACCAATGGCACATACGGTATTTTAATAAGGTTGCATATAGTTATTATTATTATTTCTGTACCATTCACAAGGCTTTGCTTATATGATCCCAATCTTATTGCATTTAATAGAACTGTGGCACTTCAGATGTCCCATTCGTGCGTTACTTCATATACTTTTTATTGTGTTTATTTATTGTGCTTATTTTAATATACCTTATATTTTTGCATATATTTTAAGTATGATAATGATAATTACTGAATATAACGAATAGTGTAAATAAGAGATTTATATGAGCTTCTTGAGAATAAAAGTTATTTTTTGTAAATGTATTATGAATATATTGTTTTTACTTTTTTTAGAAACAGCAAATTTGCATGTCAGAAATTTCCATAAATCCCTTACAGCGCATCTTATGTTGGTTCTGCATTCACACTTGTGATATATTTTAAAAACCGGTATAATATTTTACAAACATTTCACAAAATCTTAAATTAAAGAGATCGTTGCTAAGAAATTACAATACATTTATACATTCTAAGAAATGTAATAATTACATTGCGTATTACAGAAAAAGGACACTGGGTCTAAGAATGTAAAACAACTGCGGTGTTTTTCTTCTTCTTCTGTTTGATTTAACTACTCATAGGTACAGCATAAAGACGACACGCAGGACTCCGCATACCAGAACTTTAACTCAAGAATTCAGCCCGTCTTTAATTTTTACTATATTAAATTTTTTCTTTACATATTTCTTTTCTTTTTTTATGCTGTTTGTTTTTCTTTTTCTTTTTCGCAGAAAACACATATGCTTCCATTAAAGTTTTCACAAGTGGGTTTCACGTTCAACTTCGGTAGAACAAAATTAAAACAATAACAACAACAACAAAATAATAACAATAATAATAACAACAACAACAAAAGCAATAATAATAACAATGTATTCCAAGGAAATAGAGGACTGTGAGTTATACATGCATCGCATTTTCTGTCCCCACTGTTCATGTAACACAAATCGATAACAGTCTACACTTTTACAACACTTTAACCAGAGTAAGCTCGGGAATGATCAGCAGTCCTTACCTTCGGCTTCTGGGGAAAATCCCAAAACGCGTCAAAAATATCCCGGTCACGAGAGAAATCGATTTATCCTGCGCAGCTTTAAAAGACTCATTTTATCACGTAAAAAAACAAACAAACGAGAAACCTTGTATCCGGGAAACACGTGGAAGCTATTTTTTTATTTATTTACTTTTTAACTGTAGAGAGAGCCTGCTCATGATGTGAGTAAACTGCGGCGCTCGCGCCGGCTTTATTCCCTTTTCTGAGACACCTCGCGCAGTCCTAATCCCCCCTCCTCTCTCTCCCTCTCTCTCTCTCCCTCACGCGCTCTCTCTCTCACCCGGCAGCACACCTGCCTCGAGTTTGATTGGCGTGTGGCGCGAGCTCAGCCCACCATCCGGGACAGACGCCCGCACACCTTCACGCGCGCACACAAACCTCCCACCTCCCGCCTTCCCTCACTGCGCCGCTCTGTCCAAGTGAACAGCTAAAATGACGTCTCCCTAACTGTCAGCGAAACGCTGGAAAACTCAAATTAACGCCACAGAGGTCCAGGGTAACATACGCACGACACCGGAATGAGTCCAGAGCGCGCGCCTTCAAACTTTAAACAGCCACCTACACTAAAAAAAGACAAACCCAGGATATAGGAGGGGCGCAATTTTAGCTATTTTACTTACCATATCAGCGGCCTAATGAATATTAATTTCAGCTTAAGTGGTTATTTTCACACAGAACCAACCATAGCTACGCTACAAGCTGTTGCCATCAGATGGTTGTCTGCTGTTGGTCCGCGGGACGCACACCCCGAGTTGCAAATTAATTACCACCAAACTGATGTTAAAAGAGACTGCTGGCAGCACACACGGTCCGCCGAAGAGACTTGAATTGGAAATATGGCTTTTAAACACAGACATGGTGTGGAGTAAAACACTAGCTTGGCCGTGGGGGCCGAAGAAAGGAAAAATAAAAGCTGAGACAGCAGACAGACAGGCCGGCAGACAGTCTGAGGATCAGAATAATATCTATCAGGGCAGCTGATACCCACATTCAACGCTGAGCAGGCTTTTGGAAATATGACTGTCTAAACATGTGCAGGTCGTTTCCAGGACTTTTAAACGGCAGCAGGAAGCACACTGCAAACTATATCATATGTTGTAACCGAGGCTCAGCGATGCACCCAGCTAACACACGATGCTATAAAAGGTGCAATTCACCTGATAAGGGCCCTTAAAAAATTTCAGCAGAGGGATCGGATAAGTGTTCCCGCGGGAGGGGTTCAGAGCATTTGTTACCAAACCCTTACTCCAAGCTCCGAAGCAGGTGTTTTTGCAACTGCTGAATTACTCCTTCCACTAAAAATATGCAGGCAAATTACACATGTGAAGCGAAGACCTAAATATGAAGTCCATAACCCAGATACTAGCGGCCTCACATTTATCTGAAGTTATCCGCAAAATGATCTCGTTTAACTCTTCATACGAGTGCACTCATGGGGAAGTCCTAGTTCCAAATACTGATCGTCCTTGTTAATTAAGACACGTTGATAACAAAGTTGCTCTCAGGACAGATTCTTCTGTGGCTCGTCGTGGGGCAGGATGGAAACTTTATGTAGGAAATAAGAAAGAGACCAGTCTCAGAAAGAAAACTGCACACATGTTAAACATCAACACAGGTGTGTTTGTCTCTGAACTGAAAATTATAACTGAGGTATCTCAACTTCTAAGGAACTTTTTAGCAGAATGTTTTTGAAAAGACACGAAGGTTGGAATACATTTTATCCCCACTTTTATTATTATCTTAGTTGTCGGAAGGTGAAATAAACAATTACCACGGGGGCAAAACACGCAGGGATCTTTATTTGCTCCGAATTGCCTGAATAAATAAAAGCTGCAGGGCGGACTAATATTTTATTTTGTCTAAATTACACATAAAATGTTGTAACGTTCGACATATCTTAACATAGTCGAGAGACATCCAGTCCCTAGATTTTTACTTTAATGTCACCCATTAATTTCCTTGCACACCATCAGATAATTCATAAAAGTCATCGACACTGAAAGTTTTGGAAAGCCCGCTTTTAATCCAACTTCTTCCTTGCGAATTTCAAATTACGCATTCATCTGTCTGAGTAACTGTCAGTCTGGTTAAAAGGCTGCCGGATACTGAGATTGCCTGTAATTTATTCTCGCCCAATCTTTTCTCAATAGCATCTTGATAAACATGACAGAATCGCTTTTAGGCTCTGCTTTAAATCTGTGCGCGCCTGTGTGTGTGTGTGCGACACAGAGGAGAGCGAGAGCCCCATCTGCTCCTTTTCAAACCAATTTAGGATGTCACTGCGCGTGCTTTTGTCTCGCGGACGGACGCCACGGGAACACTCTGCAATGGGACAAGAGGTGGGTTGGGGCTGGTAGGAAAGGGGGGCAAAGAGCGGAGTCACGCACGGGCCGCAGTTATGGTGCTTGGTGACGTCACAATAGAGGGCGAGGGGAATAAAAGAGTGTAAAAACCAGGTAAAGTAGGCCTACCTTCAAGAGCTGATACCCAATCTTGCTTCAGAAATGTGTTTTGGCAAACACTTACATAACACCCTACCCAGAAGTGGCCTATTTAAAATAATAAAAATTTAGATATGATTATATTATCTATGTTTACCACGTGGTTACCAGATATTTAAAATAAATATGTGGCAATTTGCTGCAGAATGTGAAATAATGTAGAATATGAAATAACTTTTATGTCTGGATGTATTTGTTTTATATTGGTCTCACTAATAATGCGCAGATAAACAGCAATGAAGTAAATGAATGGCTACTCGTTTGTTGGGTTAACTTTCCTTCTCCAGGACAGAGATGTCTCTGACATGTTATCAAAATCCGAGCATGACTAAACCATGTGAAGCAGGAAAAGACGTATTGGAATACAATAGAGCTATTAGTCCCGTTGGAATACATTTCACTTTTTTTCGTAATGCATTAGTCGGTCGCCCTACTGAGAAATTAATCTTGCGGTTAAAGGAAAAAAAATGCTTGTGTGACCTCGGAGGGTCAAAGCTGGATGAAAAAAAAGGAGAGCGAGTGCTGCACGTCCAAAAACATAATAAATTAAGAGCTACAACACTAAGTGATCTTGAGACATTTAACATCAAATCTGTCAATAAGTGAAACATGCCCCGGGTGAGTGATTACCATACTCAGATGCATCACCTCCTTTTTTCAAAAGGCACTGGATCAAGACTGAAGTACCCCACAGCATCGATTTGATTTTCATTATTTTATTAGTAACCCTCATTCTCTTGAAACAGTTGCACACATGCAACTTACAGAACAAGAACAAAATGTATTTTATACATTTTTAAACTGCCATTCAGATCATCCTACTTCAAGCTGTTCGAATATTGTATTTATTTATGTTTTTAAACGAGACAGCATCTAAAACAAAACTGATATTTAACCACAAAATATATTCACGTTGGTTCTGTAACAACTCACCAGAGCTTATATTAATTTATTGCGGATTTAGAGGCAGATGCAGGCTACAATATGGCGCACACTCGTCCTGCACTCCCCAGTTTAAATCCTCACTTAATGCCTCGCGTCTTCTACTGAATCCTTCGACTGAGTTCTGCAGTGAAGATTTATAGTGCATTACAATTAACACACATGTTAAAAAAATACGAAAAAGTAATTAAGTTTAATATTACATTATCTTTTTTTCTATATATATATATTTTTTAATTTGTTTAACTTTTTTAACTTTTTTATATTTTTGCCAGTTTAAATAAATGACTAGAATGAAAGAATACCGAAACAGTGCTGGTCTATTTACAGCATTAGTGCTGCCCTGTCACAGCCTATTAGGTTACATTATTACACTGAATCTTAACGCCTATTTAAAGCCCTGGGCCAAAAACAGTTTTTCTTTTTACGTATTACACGATTTTTTTTCTCTTTTCTGTGGGAATCTTAATGTTTCAAGTGCTCTCATATGTGGGTGTAAATCATCAACTCCAGCTGCCATCTGTTCTAATTTAGATTTTATTTGTCATGGTTCTATTTTTAAACTGCTCCCGTATCAAGACTCAGCCCTGTGAGTGATGCTGTCCTCAGTTTGTTAGATGTGAGCTTGCCCGAGGCGCTTGTACCAATTAGCAGAACAGACCAACAACTAAAGGTTCCCATATTTCATCGCAGATCTGGAACATTAGCCAGTGAATTATTGAGAAATGATAATTGTGCCAAATTCACGTGACTCAATGTTCACAGAAAATAATTTTTAATCAAGCAAAAAGGCACATCGCTCTTTTAAATCGTTTGTAAATAAGCGGATACGTTCTCGCTGGTTTGTTTTCACCTTTTAGAAATTCACCACCTTATACTCATTCATCTGATCACATTTTGTGTGCCCACCTGCTCTGCAGAGATTTGTGTGTGTGAACGTTGCTCTGACATAGCAATAAAACGTAGTCCCAAAAAGGTGTTAAATTTAGTGCAAATGTTTAAGTAAAGAAAGTCCCAAAACACAATTTAATTTAGTGTGTCTATACTGTAGCTTTCTAAGTCCTAGAAATATTATTCCTGACATGAATCTGCATAATTACCTGGTCCTTCAAGTTGCAGATTCATTTCAGGCAAATGCAGGTGTAAGTATCCAATGCTATGTTTTACCTGCTTCAGATATGTGCAGAGGCCCTCATTGTGTTCAAGTACAGCTTGTAACAAAACAACCCTTGCACTGTTAATTTAATTAATTAAGGAAGTACATACTGTGTTCAAATATACTCTCTATAATCTTTCACAATATAATTGTTGCTGATTTGAGTCTCCATATGAATGTATGTTTATTTAAAAAGAGGTTGTTTTATGAGAAGAAGTTGACCACTTCTGGTGTTAATTTGTTACGCTGCTCTTTGTTAGCTTTTACTCATCTGCGAGGGTGACCTAAGTTTTGAAGTACGTTTGTGGAAGTCCCACCTGGAGTTCCTTCATTTAATATTTTATCAACTTATCAGCCTTATCAGTTTTTCCATGATCATCTCAAGTT